CTGAACGGTGATTCGGTGAAGTCTTAGAAACTGGCTCCAAATCACACTGCTTTGGTGTCAAATCTGAAACAAGACTTTGATACATCACTCAGTGACTGGTGACTCCGTAAGGACTGTGATAATTTTCCTTTTGCAATACAGTAGGAATCTCTAGGTAATCTGGAAAAAAATAGTCCCTAGAGACATTTTTTAAAGGGGAAGGAAATGTCATGGAGTAGTCTGCAGGGGCAGTGCAGAGGCCTGGAGCTCAAAGTGAGAAGATTCTCATGGTGCTTTGTAGCTATTTATTTCCCTTTTCTTAGCATATCCAAAGGCCACCAGCCGTTGCCAGTGTTTGTCTCTGGAATACAGCGGCAGAATCCCGGGAAGCAGCCGCCGGGTTCACTGACACGTGTTCAAGACTACCTGGAAACCTCTTACTTAATCCCTGCCTCTTTATTAAGCGGAAATGGTGAGAGGCCAGTGATCTGCTGAAAGCTACAGCTACTTGTCCTGCCTAGAATGCCTCATTTGCTGAGAAGCACATGGGAAAAACTTGGTAAGTCATGAAGATGCAACATCGTATGTCTAGGCTCTGCATTATACAGTTTAATATGATTTAACGAACAGAATTTCCAAGCACTACTGAAAATATCTATAAACCACTGTGGTCCAACCCCCTCACTAATGAGTGGAATCATGGGGCTCAGACCGGAAGTGACCTGCCTGTGTCTATGCAGCTGCTAGGGTTTCCCTGGGATGAGCTACTAATGCTTAAAAATAATTACCAGAGTTATGGATTTTGTTTGTGAAAGCAACTCATGTTTGCTTTGGAAAATGAGGAAAATAGAAAATACCACAGGGACATGTTTTAGGCAAGTGGAGATGATGACAGCAACGGAACACTGAATTTTTGTGTTCTCTTATTTATTTAGTTAGTTATTCAGTGTTCTGAGATAGGGTCTCTCTGTTGCAGCAAAGGCGTTTATTTAACTGAGTCACCGCAGAGGCCGGATGCAGAGACCAGCAAGTTTACCCGGGGCCAGCGGTGGGCACCCAGTACATGACTGAGCACCGACCGCAAAGGGCAGGAGGGGAGAACAGTTATAGCGTCCTAGTTCCGGGTCTATGCGGTGGTGCTGATAAGATTTAGTGCAGCTATAGAAAGGCTATAAAGCGTGGACTCAGCGTATGACAAAGGAAAAAGGTGTTTGACATTTTACATAGGGGACAAGCAGTCTTCTGACAGAACATGGGGTGGTATTGGGTTCGGTAACTATGACAACATTTACAAGAAACAAACCTAAGGAAACAGAAATTAACCTTTAAAATGGCACTAGAACACAAAACGGCGTTGGTTCAGTTTTCTTTCCCGTAGCATCCCTATAAGCTCAGGCTGGCCTTGAACTCATTATGGAGCCCAGGCTGGCTGAAAACTCACAGCAGTCTTCCTGCCTCAGCCTCCCCAGTGCTGGGATTTGGGCATGCACCACCACACCTGACCATTTTTGTATTCTAGAGTCAGAGTTTTTACATAGCCCAACTGAAGAAGCACTGGTCTAAAATACACAGCCTCACTCCCCTGGACTGTTTGCTCCCTGCAGGCATGCACATGCAGTCCTCACATTCTGTGGCGTCTGGATCCTCCCTGGCACCATGTGCAAGGCCCCTGGTGCACCTCAAGCGTCGGTGCCCGTTGCCTCTGCCTGCTCCTTGAACCTGGTGAACCCTTGTTTGCTGTGCTCTCTCAGCTTCCTTCTCCTGTATGGAGTTGTTTTTCCTTACCTAGAAATTGAGTTGGTTATGCCTGGTTCTCTAACTGCTGTGAAGGGATGATTTAAGGGGAGGCGACACAGAGTACCTGGCTACGATGGCGAATGTGGCGGTTAATCCCCTCAGCACATGGTCATTCCCTTCTCCCCAAGTCGCAGATGGTAAGTATCTGCTTCAGCACAGAGAAAGGACACAGGAAATCTTTGACTTCCTGTCCTGCAACTTGCCGCTGCCCCTCCTGACCTGTTTCCTTCTACCTCAGAAAGGCAGGTGTACTTTCTCCCATCTGAGCCTATTCCGGAGCCTGCACTCTTTTTTCAGCCATTCATGCACTCACTCATTTGCTCATTAATTCAACATTCATCAAAGAGCCATAAGCACTAGGTGGCAGAGTCACTGCTGCAGGTGATACAGCCCCAGACTGAACAAAAGACAAAGTCCCCACAGTCACCACGCGGGGGAGCAAGCCGTAGGAAGCCCTGGGGAAAAGCATTCCGCATAGATGAAACAGCATGCCAAAGCCCGGAGGCAGAAGCATTATAGAGAGCTAAGTTATTTAGAAATACTGTAGGGAGTCAGGCAGGGCTGAGCCCTTGAAAGGCCAGTGCAGAAGACGACTGGCTGGAGGCGCATTCACTGAAGGCCTGGCCTCCAGATAAAGAGGAGCTACTCCCCCAGGTACTTCCTCTCCGGATGAACAGCAGTGATTGATATTCTATATAGGCGTCATTCACCTGGAGTGGGGGACCAAAACTTTAACACACCCCTCCCAAAAGGCTTCCTTCCCCATTTGATTCCATTTAATCAGTATTACCCAAGTGACTGCACTTGATGTAATCTTACTGGTTGACCACAATTTTATCCCTCTTCACACCCATCCTGTGATTTCTCCTTTGCATCGGTATTACCTAAGGGACTGTGCTTGTAGTCTTGTTCATGGATTATAGTTCTCTCCCACCTTGAACCCACCTCACCTTGTGGTTTTGCTCAATAAAACACCCTTGAGAGGGAAGCAGGGTCGAGGGACTACCCACTTCCCTGGCCCACTTCCGTCCCTCTTAGGCAGCAGCTCTCTTTCCCTCAATAAATTCTTGCTACTCTTAACCTCTGTCGTTCCTAGAATTCATTCTGCCGTTTTACAGAACCCAAACTCAGCATTTTGGACACCTACCAGGTTGAGAGTTACCTTTCCCTTATATGATTTGGAGGTTCTTTGTCATATGCCCTATATCAGAAGCACACGTATCCTATGTGCGGTACAACAGAGGCTGGTGTGGTGGTACTGTAGAGAGCTAAGTTATGTAGAAATATTGTCGGCAGTCAGAGCTGGGCCCTGGAAGACTACCATGCAGAAGACGACAACTGTGACAGGAGGTACCTTCATTGAAGGTCAGGCCTCAGGCTGGAGAAAGGACTGTACCTACATCCTTCCCCTAGGAAAGAACAGCAGTGATTGATATTCTAAATAGGCATCAGTCCCCTTGGGTGGAGGACCAAACCTCCTTAACCCACCCCTAAGCCTAACCTACTACTTCCAGGAAAGTTTGCTGGTCCCTTGTGCTTGCTATGTGACTTACTTCCTCATTTGATCCCCATTTAATCAATATTACCTAAGTGACTATACTCGAACTCTTATTACTTGACCATAGTTTTGTTCCACCTCATACCTACCTTGTAATTTCCCATTGGATCAGTACTACCTAAGTGATGTGTCCCCCACTTACACACACATCACCTCATGGTTTTGCTGTATAAAACTAACTTAAGAGGCCAGGTGTGGTAGCGTATGTCTGCAATCCCAGCGCTCAGGAGGCTGAGGCAGGAGAATCCCTGGGAGTGTGAGGCCAACATGAGCTACAAAATGAGTTCAAGTCAAGCCTGAACTGCACAGTGAAACTCTGTTTCAAAAGGGGCAAAAAAAAAAAAAAAAAGGACTTAAGATATTGCCTAGTACCTCCTGGGTTCAGTCCAGTCTCCAATAGTGACTTAGCAAGACCCTGTCTCAAAATTTAAAAACAAAATAATTGCTCAAAAGGGGTTGAGGATGAAGTTCAGTGCAAAGGCCCTAGGTTTAGTCCCCAGTAAAGGGAAAATCAAGTGGCTTATGCATCACCTCCGTTGGTCTTACTGGGACAAGCATCCACGTTGATTCATCAGCCAGGTTGACATTTTAAATGCAAACACTTTTATGTACAGTTTAGGGCTTAAACAATTCCACAGAACAGAAAAAAATGTGTAAACTAGACACTGGCATGCAAAATCATACAAATATTAATACTCTTCATCCTCCTCTTCTCCCTCAGCAGTATCTCTTCCAACCTCCTCATAATCCTTCTCGAGGGCAGCCAAGTCCTCCCGGGCCTCAGAAAACTCCCCTTCCTCCATCCCCTCACCCACATACCAGTGAACAAAGGCACGCTTGGCGTACATCAGATCAAACTTGTGGTTCAGGCGCCCCCAGGCCTCAGCGATGGCTGTGGTGTTGCTCAGCAGGCACGCAGCCCGCTGTACCTTGGCCAGGTCTCCACCAGGCACCACGGTGGGAGGCTGGTAATTAATGCCAACCTTGAAGCCAGTGGGACACCAGTCCACAAAATGGATGCTGCGCTTGGCCTTGATGGTGGCAATGGCGGCATTGACGTCTTTGGGGACCACGTCGCCACGGTACAACAGGCAGCAAGCCATGTATTTACCGTGGCGAGGGTCACATTTCACCATCTGGTTGGCTGGCTCAAAGCAGGCATTGGTCATCTCTGCTATGGAAAACTGCTCGTGGTAGGCTTTCTCCGCAGAGATGACAGGGGCATACGCGGTCAGAGGGAAGTGGATGCGGGGATAGGGCACCAGGTTGGTCTGGAATTCTGTCAGATCAACATTCAGGGCTCCATCAAATCTGAGGGAAGCGGTGATGGAAGACACAACCTGGCTAACAAGGCGGTTCAGATGAGGGAAGGAGGGGCGCGGGATATCGAGATTTCTACAACAGATGTCATAGATAGCCTCGTTGTCCACCAGGAAAGCACAATCGCAGTGCTCCATGGTGGTGTGGGTGGTGAGGATGGAGTTGTAGGGCTCTACAACTGCTGAGGACAAGCGAGGGGCTGGGTAGATTGAGAACTCCAGCTTGGATTTCTTGCCATATTCGACAGAGAGACGCTCCATCAGCAGGGAGGTGAACCCAGAGCCGGTGCCCCCGCCAAAGCTGCGAAAAACCAGGAAGCCCTGCAGATTTTTGCACTGCTCAGTCTGTGAAAGAAAAGTAGAGTTGAGACTTCTGATGAAAGCTGCAGGAGACTTGCAGTAGATATGACATTTGCACAAGCTGATTTTCCTACAGAATTCTACAAGACCTCCCAACCCTGGAGTTTTCTACCACTCAACTGGGCTATCTGGCTAACCAACTGTGACTCAAGAGATGACTTTGTGTTATTGTTGTGTTGCAGAATCTTGCTATTTAGTTCAGGCTGGGCTCAAACTCAGCAATCATCTGCCTCATCTCCCAAGTGCTGGGATACAGGCATGCGCCACCATGCCGGGCTCAAAGGATGAATTTTGACCTTTAAAAACAAAGTGCCTGGTGACAACCCTGTCTTCTCAAAGGTGCTTAGAGATTCATCGACACTCTCTATTGATCCCTCAGTGCACCTATCCTGTGGGTCCACATTCAGTGACCACCTGAGATTCACACGTGGGGCAGACCCTATGTCTACCACCGCATCCCTGTAGGGTCCTGGGAATGCAGTCATAACCCCAAGGACGAGTTCAACTGTTTTGGCACTCAGTGATTTTCCCCTCATCCCCTAGATGACTTTTATTATATTTGCCCCTAAAAGCAGGTCCCTGATTTCCAAGTCAGCGCTTGCCACTGAAGCTTGATTGGCCAGTGTGAGAACCATTAACCCGGTTTTGCTGGGAAGTCTGTGATAAACATCTGAGGAAAGCATGAGGCCAAGAATGACATGAGGCCATTCTTTTCAGAAGAGACCACTTGCGCCTGGGCTTAGTGTGCAGTTCTCCTGACAAGATGCTCTACTCAGGCCTTCACACTTGATTTCCGGTTAATTACTTACAAGCTGCCCAATGCATAAGGAGCAGGTCACCGGATTGCCAAGCGTGTAATCAAAATGATCCAAACACATTTACCAACCATCCTGATGTGAAAGAAGTTGCCTGAGACTTTCTGCCAGAGAGCCAGCTCACTGCCTTGATAAAAGCCCAGCAGCTGCTTCTCTGCAACTGCACCTCGAAACTTCCAAGTTTCAATGGCTGATACCTGTTTCCGTCCAAAGGAAGCGCCTGACCCCTTTTCCACTCTCACCTTTGTTGGAGGTCTCCCTTTTAGCAGTTTGCATATAGTTACACTGGCTTCTTGCAGTTGGAACTTTTTTTCCCCTAGTGGGCTGGGGGCCTTGCCCCTGCCAGAAAGTGCTACCTCTGAGCTCACCAGCCAGCCCTGAACTTTATGAACATAGGGCACAGGCCCAGATTGTTAGAAAATGGGTTTGACCAATCAGTTACGCATAGGAGTAGCCACTTACTCAGTGTAACTAAAATGACCTCAAAGTGGTGACGTCTCACCTGGAAGCAGGAGGCTTCATGGTCTTAAATGTTATGAAATTGTTAGATTCTCTGTTCTCATTTTGACACCAGGTAAATTGCCCTCACCGAAGGAATGAGCACAACTGCCCAAATCAGCACAAGTATGAACCCTTTGTGACAGCTGTCCCATAACCAGGACCATCTGGTTTACAGGCCACTTAGTGTAGAGACCATCCAGCCTGTCATTTTAATTGCAAGGAATGATTCTCATAGTTTGGCCAGCCATGATGCACATGCCTGTAATTCTAGCACTTGGGAGCCTGAGGCAAGAGGAGTGTGAGTTCAAGGCCAGCTTGGACTACAAGGTGAGACCTTGTCTCAACAAGCAAAAACAAAACGCTGCAAGAGAAAACTCTAACCCCAATTTAAAATGTTAAAGTGCTGTGCTTACCAGTTTCCTGACCCGCTCCGAGACCAGGTCAATGATCTCCCTACCAACGGTATAGTGCCCGCGGGCATAGTTATTGGCAGCATCTTCCTTGCCTGTGATGAGCTGCTCGGGGTGGAAGAGTTGGCGGTAGGTACCAGTGCGCACTTCATCTGGAAGAGGACAGACCCACGGCCCATTACTAAAAACCTGCAGGGGCCTGCTCAGGCCTGGGGGGGTCAATAGAGCCCTCAGGCCACACTCAAGACCCAGCACCCCGGCAAATCCCGTGGTCCACAAACCAATGACCGTGGGTTCTAGGTCCACAAACGTTGTCCTGGGCACATGTTTCCCGGCACTCGTCTCACTAAAGAAAGTGCTGAAGGAGTCATCTCCACCCGCAGTGGTGCTGTCACTTAGCATCTGGCCATCGGGCTGGATGCCATGTTCCAGGCAGTAGAGCTCCCAGCAGGCATTGCCGATCTGGACACCAGCTTGGCCAACGTGGATGCAGATGCACTCACGCTGCGGGAGGAAGAAAGAACAATGTCAGAATGACACATCAGATAAGAAATGTCATACCCAGACAACTAATTAGCCTTCAAAGACGGACAACCACTTTCCAGAGGCCACTCTTGGCCCGGGACTATCACAAGCCAAACTCTTTGTGGAAGCTGGGTATAGCTCGCACACGCCCATAATCCCAGCTACTCTCGAGGCTGAGGCAGGAGGATCACAAATTCAAGGCCAGCCGAAGAATTTTGTGAGACTGTCTCAAAAAACAAAAAGGCTGAGGATGTAGCTCACTGACAGAGTACCTCTTGGGTCTGACTCACAGAGTCGGGTGGAGTGCAATCTTCACTGAAGACATAATTCGGAAAGACATGCTTTGAAAGACCAGTTATGCTGATGAACTTCCATGCACAGCACAACCCTTGCTTTGTAGCCCCAGATTAAGTTCAGGTTTCTACAGTTTAGAATGGCACAAGCTGTCTTATCAGCAACACAATTCCAATTTCCCCAAGCTCCTAGGAAACACGCTTGCTGACTCCTTAAACTAATATAAAATTCTCCCTTCCAGGGCTGAGTCACTCTTTGCGCGACTGTGTAATTCCTGAATACATTCTGGTACCTCTTTAATGCTATTCTGTACAAGAGCTTCTTCCTTTCCCCTGAGAGGCAGTTAAAACCAGCGACTCTAGCCATGACTTACGGGGAAAATGCTAGACAAGCAGCAGTTAGCTGTAGTTTCAAACATGTGGTCAGAGCAGGTTTTCCACCCAGTAAAAGAATCTTTCTATTCTAAAGAAGCTAATCTTGAGGAAGAACATGCTTCCTCCACTTTTTTTTTTTTTTTTTTTTTAAGACAGGGTCTTGCTATACAGGTCAAACTGGCCTTGAACTCACTATATAGCTCAAGCAGGCCTCAAATTCACAGTGATCCTCCTACCTCAGCCTCCCACGAGTGACAGAATTATGGGTCATTTCTGGCCACCAATAAACCTTGGAGGGATGGCATATTAATAAAGATGAAAAGGATTACCAAGATTTAACTGTAATAGTTTAAGAAATTAGCTGCTTCCTAGAAGAACGCACACGTATCTCCAGTACTGTAGATTTTTCCTCTCTAGTAGTGGGCATTGAATCCAGAAACCGTACTGAGCTTTATCCCCAGCGGTTTTACTTTTGTGAGACTGGGGGTCTCATTAAGTTGCTCAGGCTGGGTTTGAATTTGTGAGCCTCCTGCCTCAGCCTCCTGCATAGCTTGGATTATAGGTGTGTACTATCGTGCTTGGCTACTGTAGAATTCTTGAAATTCTAGGATTGCAAGGATATATCAGGTGTAAGAAAATACTTGTTTTCCTTTCATTTCTGGACATGGTCACATTAACATAGCTCCTTAGAAAATGAAGCAGGAAGATCACTGTTTGAGACTCAGGAATAGGGTCCCTTGCCTAGCATGTGCAAGTCCCTCGGTTCAAATCCCAGCACAGGAATTAAAAAAAAGCCAGGTTGGAGACTGGCCAGAAACTTTAAAAAACTTCCATAACTATCGCTATTTTCCCCAAAGAGTAGTTTCAAGTTGTTTTTGAGAGAGGATCTCGCTAGGTAGGCTCTGAACTTAGTATGTAGCTCAAGCCGGCCTCAAATTCATAATCTTTGTGGCTCAGCCTCTGGAGCACTAGGATTACAGGCAGGCATCTATTCTATTTTTTTAGAGGCAGGCACCTTCTATTTTTTTTTTTTTTCTTTTTGAGGAAGGGTCTCACTGTGCAGCCCAGGCTGTCCTCAAACTCTCAGGGATCCTCCTGCCTCAGGCCTGGAGTTACAGGCCTGTGTCATCACACCCAGCTAGGTTTTGAGTTTTTAAAAGCTTAGCCAATAAGAAACCAATTCAAGAACAATTTTGCCAGGTGTTAGGGCACATGCCTGTAATCTAAAGTGCTGGCGAAGCTGAGGCTGGGGGACCACAAGTCCAAACCCTGCTTGGGCAGCATAGCAAGTAGAGAAAGCCCCCGCTAAAAAAGTAAAAGAAAAAATGAAAATTGAACAGCAGCTCCATTCTTGAAGGTCCTAGTTTCACAACCCATTGCTTACCACCTCTGACTAATGATCATCACCTCCACACATATGCTTCTCGTAAAACAATCAAGGTTCCCAACCACATTAGCAGCTCAGGACTCCCTGTGACTACTGGTCCTGCTCTCAGGCTGTGCGGAACAGAAGCTGTTTGACCTAGGGAGTCCTTGACTATTTACTGTTGCCTCAGGTTTTTCTTTATCGGAACTCTGGAAACTACAAGCACAGGAACTGGCAAGAACCAGCCCTCTGTCCATGATGGACCCAGGCTAAGCCCAAGAAAACACAGTATTGTATCTGAGAAGAGTCGAGAACCACCTCCTTGGCAGAAATCTTAGCCACGCATGGTGGCGCGTACCAGGAATTCAAGCCCCTGGGAGGCTCAGGCGGGAAGATCACCAGTTCAAGGCCAGCATATAAACATATAGCAAGACCCTGTCTCAAAACACCCAAAAAACTCAAGCCAACAGTCTGTTTTCTTTTTCCTTGGGTTTTGGCCTCACACTCACAGGCTCCTCCTGCCTCAGCATCCCCAGTGCTGGGATTACAGGTGTGCACCACCACACCTGGTTTACACATCTTACCTTTTCAAAACATCTTTGTCTAGCTGTGCAAGTCATTCCAGCACTCTGGGAGCCTGAGGCTGTCTTAAAGTTCACCATACAAAGTCATTAGGGTTGGTCCTCCACCCTCAAGGGCCACTGGGGGGGGGGGCAGTGAGGACGTAAGGCACAGGTGACGCAGTCTCATTTTAATTGGACTTGTAGCAAGTTGAAAATCCTTGAAAATCACCCACAGAACCTGTGCTTTCCTATAAACAGCTGTGCTGCTTTGCTCTCCTGCCCTTTCAACAGCCCTGTTTCTGAATCCCTTTTACCAGGTCTTTTGGGTCTTGCCTGGTGAGTCAAAGCAATTTGCTAGAGGCACACATGCTTTCAGTAACTGTGGTCAGCCTCTGAAAACTCCCGTCAGCTGTTCACGGCATCCTTTAACAAAAAGATACTCTTTTGAAACACAGGATACAAGGATACTTGTTTAAAATGACTACCTTGAGAGAGACTTTCAATAGGTGTTATCTTAGTTGTTTCCAATATCTCTGGGAAGATATATAGAAAATGATCAAATCTGTGCAATTTTTGGGGGGTGCTGGGGATCAAACTCAGGGCCTTGTCCATCTTAGGCAAGTGCTCAATCAGTGAACTACACTTGCAGCACCATTTTTTTTTTTTCTTTTGAGACAGTGTCTCCCCATGTATTTAAGGCTGTCTTTGAACTCACTTATGTAGCCCAGACTGGCCCCGCGGCCATCATCCTGCCTCAGCCTCCCCAGTGCTGGGATACGAGCACCCCCACACCTGTCTCTAACTTGGTGCTTTTTGAAGACTGAACTAAAACATACTGTTAGTACTAGCTTCGTCTGGTCTGGCGAGAAAATATCCTTTTATGCATTTGTTTCTGAAACCTGGTTTTAAGTAGAAAGCTTTAAGTTATAAACATCCTACTAAATCAACACTAGACAAGCAGGATAAGGCAGGGACAGTTCATTCTTTCCTTCAAAGGAGGAGCTCACCTTCTCCTCAGGTGGATTGGTCCAACTGGCAGTGCGCAGAGCCGGACACAGGTGACTCTGCAGGGAGTCACAGGGCATTGATGGCCGGCTCTGGAGGTGAGTGCAGTCGCTCACCGGGTCCTCCAGGGAGGGGTCTAAGGTAGGGGGACGGCGAGGCCACTTGGAGACATGCAGGAAGAAACTTCAGTTTCTCCAAGTCCTAGGGTAAATGTGCAGGCTCCCTGCCCTTCCCAGCACGGTGGCGGTCCGTGGGGTCAGTGCCCTCTCAGCGAGGGGCTTTGCACTTCCACTAAGGACAGTGCCCTGGGGCGCTTTCGAGCTTGAAGCTGAATGGGTCAGGTGAACTCACCTTTCCCAGCCCGGCAGCCGCAAGCCAGAAGGACCCAGGAGGGCGGGAGGCGTGGACAGCCGTCACCTGTCCCACCTGCAGCCCATGGGTCTCCACACGCCTGCCACTGCATCCTCTACCCCACCCCAGCACCCCGCGACCCCACCACTAACCATGATGGGCCAGCAGCGTCACAGAAGTGAGCGGAGTACGCAAGGATCTCCAACTAGCACACCCCCAAGGAACTGAAGGGCGCAAAGGAAGGCGTCCCCTTCGGGCCTTTATATACCTGCCCTGCCAGGTGTAGGGGCCCTCCACCACGTGCCCCAACCATAGCCCCGCCCACAGAGAGGGGCGGGCAATGGTGATTGGTGGGTTCAAAAGTTCAACCCCAGCTCAACTCCACAGTCATGAGAGGACACCGCTGCACCCAGGTGGGCAAAGCCCTAGCAAAGTCACGTGCCAGGTGAAGGGGGCGAGGACTGTGCCCCGGGGAAAGCTCCACGCGGCCCGCGCTCCACTCTTCCAGGATGGTCAGCTCTCGGGAGCAGGGCCCCGCCCACGGATCTGGTCCTGTTGCGGGTGCAGGTGCAGGTGTGGGTGCAGGTGCGTGCAGCTGAGGCACCCAGAGAAGACTGCTTCCCGTTCTTGGGCTTCATGATCACCCAGGGCCTTTACACCTGCATTCTCACTTTTTGGCTGTCTTTCTTTATGTGTCTTCCTGTCTCCTCTTTCTTACTAGTAGGTGCAATGGATATTTCAGTTTTTTCACCATAACAGCTACCATTTTCTTTCTTTTTTATTTTCATGTAATACAAGTAGATATTAAAATATTAAAAAGTACTCTTCTTACTTTCTTGAAGAAACAAAATTTCATAGCAAAACAATTAGAGGATAACAACAGTTAATACAGTGTGGGCCCTTGTTGCAGATAAGAGACCAGTGGAGGACACTTTGCACCCAGGAGTTCGGAAGGCAGGCTTTTTACTCGTAACCCCGGCAGGCCCAGGAACACTGAGTTTTCCTATCATCTGCCCAGAGTCAGGTTTGAGTTCAGTTTAACAATGATTTGCAAGCGAGAAGTACAAAACTGATAACAGGTTATTACGTGACTGGCATGGAATACATGGAATACAAGCATTACATCACACATTGTCAGGCAGGACTGTATCATTTGGGGAAGGAGGGAAGGGTGTGCATGCGGTGGGAGCAGAGTTAAAAGCGTCCTCGATCTGGCCAGTCTTTCCCCCAACATGACATGGCCTTCACGCGTGCTGGAGTCAATGCACATTTTCTTAATTAAAGGGAACTCAGTCAGCTTGACCTGTCAAGTTGATGGATAAAAGCTGGGACCAGACATTCAAGGTTTTTAGCTGAATTTAGTACACTAGCTACGGGGCAGGCTGTCGGTACCTATGGTCACAGGCCTCTAATAGATTTCTAACTTCTGCTATAATGTGCCTACAAGTCCGCTATTCGGTAAGTGCCCTTATACCATAATCTTAAAAGGATGGCCAAAATCTTACTCACAGGACAAGTCAGACAAAAAATTCTTAAAAAGAAAGAAACATAGGCCAGTTGTGGAAACACACGCCTGTAATCAGAGCACTCAGGATGCTGAGGCAGGAGGATCACTATGAGTTCAAGGCTGGCCTGGGCTGCAAAGTGAGGACAAGGCCAGTCTGCGCTGCATGGTGAGACCCTGCCTCAAAAAGACAAAAAACACAAATGGAAACATAATAACGTAGAACTTTCTTTTCAATGAACTGAGAGAAACTAGTAGTATAAATGAAACAAATTAGCATGTATGTTAAAATATTTTTGAAAAAATGGACTAGATAATTTGGGGTGGATTATTTGACCTTTTCCCTACTTCCTTTTTCTCTGTCTTTTGTTTTGATTGTGTGTATATATATATATAGCTAGATAGATATAGTTTCTCATATAAGAGAAACTTCGTGATTGTCTTTCTCTTGAGACAGGCTCTTAAGATCTTGTCCAGGCTGGTCTCCAACTCCTGGCTCAAGCAATCTTCCAAGTACTGGGTAGTAGGGCTCCAGGCGCGTGCTACTGGCCTGGTGGCTCTCATTTTTTGATTATCTACAGAGCAAAGGAGTTGGCCTTTCACACTGCGTTACATTTCATCCACACCACAAGCCTTATTTGCTATTGTCCCATTTTACAGATGGGGAAATCAGACCTCAGGGGAATGAAACCAGCTGAAGGTCCGGCAGTGGAAAATGGGGCTGAAGTTAGATATCAACGGTGACTGCGCCTCAGCACTACCTTGTTCTGCTTCATACTAACTATGCAGCTGACCAGACCCACACAGGTTCATTTTCAAAACCATTATTTCAAGAAGGATTTCACAGCTCCTTTAGGTCCCTGCAAGTCCTGAGGCCTTTGAGAGCCAGTGTCGGGTTCAGAAAGACCAGGGACAGGACCCGAGTGACTTCTTGTTTCTGTGCACTTTCAGCCTGTCAGCTTAGCTCTTAAACTCCTTAAACTGTCTCTGAGACAGAGTTTATGGAAATGTGAGAGAACAAAAGCTGCCGTTCTACAGAATAGAAGTTACAGGACTTTCCCTGGAAGTGGAAAAGGCAAAGTGAAAGCAGAAATGGGTTTGGAAACAGAACAGGCAGAACTCAGGACACCTGACAGCCCACAAGAGCTGGGCTCTGTGGAAATACGTAGGTGTGGGATTCCTCTTCCAATCTGATGCGTATTTCATTCATCAAATGCTTATTGAACACATATTGTGAGGCAGGGTATTTTGAAATTTGGAATAACTAGCACTGTAATCTCTTAATTTTTTGTTCTTGTTTTGTTTGTGTGAGGCAGGGTCTCACTGATGAGTTTAGGCTCATCTTGAACTCACTGTGTATCTCAGGCTGGCCGTGAACGTACAGTGATCCTCCTACCTCAACCTCTGGAGTACTAAGATTACAGGCATGCCCCACCCTGCCTACCAGCAAGCTCTTAAATATTTTAGTTTTAGTAGAATTTTCCAGCCTTTTCATTTATTCTGCGTATATATTTAACCCAATATCTAGGTGCTCGGAAATACATATGTGAGCAAAACTGACAGATCTTCCTCATAGAGAGTATATTCTACAGGGCCATGAGGTGGCACAACAAACAAGTTTTAAATACAAATTAGTACAGCCTACTGTTTTGGGCTAAGCTCCTGTACTATACCCCAACATACCAGCCTAAAAATCAAAATAGAAAAAAAAATCAAAATAGAGTCACTCATACTAAAGTTCTACAACACCAAAACAAAATCAAAGTATCATCTGACCTTCTTAGATATCAAAACAGATTAAAAAAAAAAAAAGCAAAATTCCAAAACGGGCCACTTACACTGGCAAAATAATGAAGTTCCTTCTGCTTCAGTCCTTATAAAAAGCAATGATATTAACCAAGCACTTTCTTTTCTATTGTTCTGTCTTCCTGTCCTGGTCTTCCAAAGAAAGTAGCTTTGAAATGGCCCACATGCTTCTCTTCTTTGTTTCAGCTTTCTGCAACCTCCCTCCCGCAGCCTATAAAATCAGCCTCCTCTTCTCAACCCCTCAGAGCACTTACTCTGCACACAGTGGTACATGCCTGTATTCCCTGCATTCAGAGAGGATGATGGAGGAGGATCACAAGTTTGAGCACAGCCCTGGGCAATTTAGTGACTTAGTGAAACCCTGTCTCTAAAGAGCATAAAAAGGGTTGGGTATGTAGCTCAGTGTGAAGGCCCTGGGTTCCACTTGCTGTCACCGCCGCTGCATGTACCGTGGGCAGAAGGAGCAGGCTGAGAGTGCACAGTGTGGAGTTCTGCACAGAGAATGCAAAACTCCACACTGCCTTGATCACTATTAACCTTCTTTAGCCCCACTGTCCCCTTTCCTGTGGAAAGGAAAGTAGGCTCAGAGCAACTAGACAAGAGAGAAATAAAAGGAATGAGGAGAGGAAAGGAAGAAGTAAAACTGTCACTATTTGCAGACGACATGGTACTCTACATGGAAAAGCCCAAAAAGTCCACAAGAGGACTCCTTGAATTAATCAACACATTCAGCAATGTAACTGGATACATAGTCAGCACCCAAAAATCAGTAGCATTCCTATACACAAACAACAAACGGACTGAGAGAGAAATTAAGGAAACCATACCTGTCACAGTAGCATCCAAGAAATTGAAATATTTAGGAATCAATCTAACAAAAGAAGTAAAAGATCTATTCAATGAAAACTACCGTACTTTGAAAAAAGAAATCGAAGAGGATTTCAGTAAATGGAAAAATATTCCTTGCTCATGGATAGGAAGAACCAACATTGTGAAAATGTACATACTACTGAAATTGTTGTACAGAGTCAATGCAATTCCCATTAAACTACCATTAGCAGACCTCACAGATCTAGAGAAAGCACTCTTTAAATTCATCTGGAACCAGAAGAGACCCAGAATAGCAAAAGCAATCCTGGGCAACAAAGACAAGTCAGGTGGAATCACAGTCCCTGACCTGAAATTTTACTACAAAGCTACAACATGGTACTGGCTAAAAAACAGAGCAGAGGATCAATGGAACAGACTGGAAGACACAGCCACAACCACAAACACACTCAGTCACCTAATCTTTGACAAAGGGGCCAAACAAACTCACTGGAAGAACGATAGCCTCTTTAATAAATGGTGCTGGAAAAATTGCCTTGCCACCTGCCGAAGACGGAAAATAGACCCAAGTCTATCACCATGCACCAAACTCCAGTCAAAATGGATCACAGATCTCAATATTAAAACAGAAATACTAAATCTATTGGAAGAGAAAGTAAGTAAAACTCTTGAAGACATAGGGGTAGGCAGAGAGTTCACAAAGAAAAACCAAATTGCACATGAAATACTTCAAAGAATCAACAACTGGGATCTCATCCTACTGAAAAGTTTCTGCACATCTAAAGAAATCACCAGCAGAGTAAAAAGAAAACCCACAAATTGGGAAAAAATTTTAGCTGACTGTCCCTAGAAGCCCTTTAAAGGTAAGGAGACTGGTAGGTTCATGGACAGGTCCAGGCATTAGCAAATGATATTTAGAAAGTAATCACAAATTATATTCAAACATAGTGAATTTATTCATCCAGCACCATGCA